TTCATACGTTTGTAAGATGAAAGTAATACAGTGTAGTATGTATTATTGTACTGGAATCAATTATATTGATTGTATTAGGGATATATTTATTTATTAATACATTATTTTCGTCTGAAATATTATTATAATATACCCAATTTGTAAATGGGTTGTTTGTGTTTGTGTTCACAATAGTATTTACCTGCTGAGAGGCTGGTATCTCTGTCATTTCAACTTCTAGTACCTGTTCAATATATGTGCTTATGTACACTGTAGTTGCTACTAGTACAGGCTTTGCTTCTGTTGCTTCTACTGTGTCAGCTGAAGGATTAGACTTTTTGGCTTAGGCATCTAGTGTTGATTGAGTTGGTGACTTCTGGCAATCATGGGAGAAGTGCCCTGATTTGCTGCAATTGTAGCATTTCAATACAGAAGTTGATTTGCTTGTATTTTTATTAATTCCTTTATTTCTGTGCTTTTTATCTTTTGTACAAAACATATTTGCCTGTCCACATATTGTAGGCTTGTTATTATTGTATCATAGAGGATTTTTAATGTGAAAATCATTAAACACTTGACATAGTACTGTAATAAGTCTTTGTGGCTTAATGGGTTAATACTTAGATTCAGGTTTTCTGTTGTAAAACATATCTTGAGCTTGTTCCATAGCTGTAATAGTACCACTATATTCAGAAGGAGTTGTAGCATAAATAGCTGCTTGATACATAGTGTCTGTAGGTTTTAAATTGTCTGTTACAAGCTGTACATATATCTGCTCTAACTTATCAAGTGTTTGTCCAAAGTTTTTAACATGATCATTGCATTTAAATAGTGAAGACTCATTGTATGCTTTACACGTAACTGTATGAGGGTTGAAGTGTTCTTCTAATCTGCTCATAAGAGTTTTAATTGACATTCTAGTATGTATAAAGTTAGCCATTATATGATCCACTACTTTATTGATTATTAATGTGTAAATTGTATACACAACCTTGATGTCTTCAGACTTTGGTTCATTTGTGAACAAGTATGTATAGCCTGTTGCTACAATAGCAGAGTTAATCTAATACTTCCATATTTTGAATCTGGATACATCCTTTAGTTGTACAATGTTATGTCTGAAGTGTTTAGGGACATTAGCAGGTTTGTAGTGAGTAGGATTTGTCCTGCTCGTCTGCTCTGAGGATGTAGATGGATTTGTTACAGTTCTGTTCAATGTGTACATATTATAGGTACTTGGAGAGTCCATCATAGATGCATAGTATTAATACAAAGTAGTGTAGCATAGTCTCATAGTAGTAATATGAGGTGTTAAGCAGAGAGTGCAAGGCTCATAACCTGTTAGAATATGTATTCTTAGGTTATCACACAAGTAATGAGGGTGTAGACCCTGATAATGATATGTATTTAGTTAATAAGTTGTTCGTTTTTATATTATTTGTCTGTCTGTATGTCTTAGATATCCAATGTATCATTATCTCATATCTAATACTTATTGTGTATCTAATACATGTCTCATAGTTCTGTGTCCGTTCTGTTTGTATATGTATTAATTATTTTACTAATACTGTATTGTCTGTAATTGTATCATTAATCATAATACATGTTAACATGTGTCAACAGACTAAGGCCTACTAGACAAGGGTTTAGGCTCCTCTACATTTGTATCAGATCCTGGATCACTCTTAGGAGGAAGTCTTAGTAGACCTGATTAGTGAGCTACCCAAGTCTTAGAGTTACAATACTATCTGTATAATTGTTGACTGATTCTCTAAGCAAGTCTACACAGTTCCAACCCAAACAGAACTCACTTCTAAAAGCATAGTGCACATCTATTAGGATTATGTCTTCTAGTTATATAGACTCTCTTAGAAGCTCATTTACAATTGTAGACTACAATTTAAGTTGAAATTCATACAGAACTTGTATATACTTCTTAGAATTTAAGGGAACCCTTCTACTACATATTACCTACAGACTGATAGTTAAACTGAGCAAGTCAATCAGGAGATCAAGCTCTATCTCTAGATGTTTATCAATCATTAGTAGTTAGACTGGTCTGAATAGTTAGCTTTAACAGAATTTGTGTACAATAACTAGTAACACTCTACAACAGGACAGTCTCTGTTCTTCCTCAACTATGAGAGACATTTGTACTAGGGGACAGTTCTGAACCAGAATAGTAGTTCTGAATCTGTAACAGACTTTGAAGAACAGATACACAAGACTAGGGAGGACACACAAGCTCTTTTAGAAAAGACAGTATAAGTTATAAAGTAGAACTATGATTGGAAGAGATCTGTAACTAAGGATTACCAGCCTAGTAATAAAGTTATGCTAGAAGCTACTAATCTGACCTTAGATTGCTTAATGAAGAAGTTGGACAATAAGTACTTTAGACCCTTCATTATTAAAAAGAAGGTTAGTACCTTTGTCTACAAACTCTAACTTCTAGTAATATAGAAGTGTATACACCTAGTGTTTAACAAGGTTCTATTGTTTTGGTACTACAATCTAGGTTTTCCTTCACAACAAAGACCCCTGCCACCTCTACCAGAACTCATCAGTTTTGAACTAGAATACAAAGTAGAGTACATAGTAGATACTAAGCTACTGTACAGAAAACTCAAATTCCTTGTTTACTAGAAAGGGTACTCAGTTGAAGAACACACTTAGGAACCTGCCAAGAACCTCACCCATACTTCTAAGACAATCTAAGACTTCTATCAGCTTCATCCTAGTACTCTGTACAAACTCAGCCTTACAGATTTCCAAGCCCTACTGTTCTAACCTATACCTGAACTGCTAACCAAGCCTAATGTTCACTAATTAGGATGATTGGTTTTAGAGGGAGGGTGATGTTATAGTTCTCTACTCTTGTACCTTTAGTTCTGAGGGTTCTGTACTCTTCTGTACTAGAACTTAGGACTTCTGTCCCTCAGGAGTACTGTTTATAAACTATATACAGGCTGACTCTTACTATTACCCTTCCTTACTTTATCATTCTGTTCCTTTGACTACTCTTTCATTCCTTGTTCATTCTATAGTCTCTTACCCTTTGTCTATCCCTTCATTCTTTGTACCTTTATCTTTGACCTTCCTTTCTTTCATCCTTTATAGCTCATCATTCTTAGTGACTCATATTCTCTGAGTACTCTTATATAGTTTAGTATATATAGGTATACAAGATCAGACTAGTCCTGTAGTCTTGATCTTGTCTACTCCAGGTAGTCCTGTACTCTTAGGCTCACTCTATATACTCTACTCTTGTCTCACTCTCTCTCTCTCTCTGTCTATTCTGTAAGTTCTGACTACATTCTAGTGCTTGTGTTCCATATTTCTGTTGTATAGGATAGTTGTAGCCTGGGTCCCCTTACTGAGCCTTTGGGTCCCCTCTATACTGTTGCTGACAACTACTGTATCTACAGACTGCTTTTTATAATAACTAAATAACAAGAGTAAAGTAAGGAATGAAACTTGAGAATAAGATCAAAGAAATAATAAGAACAAATATTATAAAGCTAACAAGTGTATCAGAGGCTAGGAAGAATTAACAGAGTGTTGTGTATCAGAGAATATAGGTTAAAAGGCTATTACACAAAAGAGGCATGAGTTACTATATTGGGCAAGAAATGGATTGGCTGTGTTGTGATTGTATACACTACCTTACATCTCTGTAGCTCTCTCCTACACTCAATACTAAGACAATCTCTATGAAACTTTGTGAAACAATAAATGAGATGTTAAGGATCATGAAAATCCAGTAGTAATGTTGGTTTTTTTGCAAAACTGACAGAGATATGAAGAAAATGAAATAGGTCCAATCCTACAATCCTAACAACTGTCTCATAACATGTAACTCTACAGGATGACAAGGAAACACTAAGACAGAGTGTAATGAGTGAGGAGATGGAGAGAGAGAGAGAGAGAGGTGGAGAGATTGGGGAAGGGGATATTCTGCTTGCTTTTATATTGTATTGCCACTGAGCCCTCTAATAATTTCTTTTGGTTATTTGGAAGGGATGAAATAAGGACAAATTTTAACTTAACTTATCAACTAAAGTAGTATCCAGCAATTATTCCCCACATAAATATGTCTAGCTGTATATACGACACGTAAAGTATCTACTATATTCTTCACTGTTTACCGTACCACAGCGTAAAAATCAACGGTAAGTACTAGGTACGAAGTATGAGGAAGCAACTTCTTCTCCCACGCTTTTGAGCCACCAAAAGTGAACTTCTAAATATAGAATGAGCGCGACGACAGTTCGGTGCACTGATCCCGCTTTCCTGCCCAGTTCCCGCTTTCCAGTGTGTTGCTTCTAGCCTATCGGCGTAAAGATCGCAGCTAGAAAATGAGGGGCATGAGTCAGAGATAGAGGATGAATCGGGTGCTTCTCATTTTTCAAGATTTAAAAAGTGAATATGTTGAGCGTCAAAACGCGAGACTCAAGCATTGCGCTTAGCCCGTGTACATGCGCCTTGTTCCTTTTGGACTATAAGTTAGGAGTACTCAGATCAAGAGAATGCATCAAGGGTCCTCCACGCTGTTCACAAGAAATTGCCGGCAGACTCCTCAACGTCAAACGGAAGTACTTTCTAGAGAAATCTATGGATAAAGCCAAAACAAATAGTTGCCGTACGAGTCCTCGGCGTCATAACCCTAGATCGTTCGAGGAGTCAAAAGGAAGACGTACAATTGTATTGTTCAAGGTCCGGATCTTACGACAGTATCTCCTGACCAGAAGCATAGCTCAGACTCGACAATTCGGCTATGAAAGAACAAGAGTAATGCAAACTGCAGACAATCCAATCCATCAATCTGTAACCCCTTCCTCCTTCCTTTCCATTCTTCTCCACAGGATAAGGGTAAAGCACGAGGCAGTCCGAGAGAAGAAGAAAAGAAAAATATAACCAGACCACGCACGTCAAAAAATTGCACTGCATTTCCTTCAATATTCACCGATCGTGGCCTCGGGGATAACCGCCCTTGAAAAATAAGCGATGATTAGGCCGACATGACAATGGATAACGAAGATGGTTAGATTAGTACTGATGTGTCTTGATGACGTTCAGACCCTATCATGAAATCATATAAAGAGCGTGGCTGTCAAAGTCAACCAACTCAGCGTACACACCCCACTCCTCGCACATCCCCACTCTCCACACACAACAGCTCCTCGGAGCAACTTCTCCCGTCAGCGTGTCATATATACAATAGAACACAATGGTTCTCACTCGCGCGATGCGTAGCCAACATACGAACATACAGGCCACTAGTACTGGAGCAACCAGCAACGGGACATCGTTAACACGTGCGAGACATTCGCGCAATGTACAGACAACCAGAAGCGAGAGCACCGTCGTCTTTAGCAATGAAGCTGAAGGCTCCGCCAACGTCCATGACAACGCCTTTAGCACTGGCACAGTTAGCGACGGTGCTCAACATACGTTCATTACTAGAGAGGACCAGTCCTCCTCGACAGGATCGATGTCCTCCACCACGCAGACAGCGCAAGCTACGCATGTCGGCGAATCAGAAAGTACAAGAAATGGTAAGTCTCCCTCCTCATTCCACGTCAAAATTCCTCATTAAAATATTTATTCAGCCGGGGTCCTTGATAGCCAGCCACAGGCATCGGGATCTTCCACCGAAAGTCCGCAAAATTCTCGTGAAGGTAAGTTAGACCTCCATACATAAATGCAGCATTGAGCTGACATAAGGTCCAGACCTTCCGAATGCCTCCCTCTCACTCTTTCCCAGGCCGAAAGCTCGCAAGAAGCGCGGCCATGGGTGGACCCGCAGAAAAATTAGAAGGGCGACTACTCAAGGTCGTGCTGTCCGGGTAGGCGGCAAGCGCCTAGTCGAGGGCGTCGATGGCGAAGAAGACGAGGCAAGGCAAATGAAGAGGCGGCGTGTTAGTGAGGAGGCCGTTGCGGGGCCATTCAACGCACGTTCAATATCGTTGGACAACACGATTGGTGCGACCAACGTCCGTCAGCTGCGATCGCGCAGCATCGTCTTTCCCGCAGGTCCCGCAAACTCGGGAAGCGACGAGGGAAACACGACGACGAGGTCGCCATCTCCAGATCGTGCATCAGAACGACCGACTTTAGAATATACACTAGAAAATGAGGTAGACTTCACTCTCATAAAAACAGAGGATGAAGAGGAGGGTTTCCTCTGGGATACTCCTCCGCCTCGGGATTGGAGTCTGCTGATGCCAGAATATGAACTGGCAACCGAGGACACATTCCGATTTGACAGTAACCGGAGTACGCCAGAGCTGACGACTGGACGTGACGGGTCCCATAGGGATAGAAGCGAATCGGTCGGCTCAACGCCCGTAGGAACGCCACGGGCCCAATCAGTGGACGTCCAATCGTTTGATAGATCCCTTGTGATCGTTCTTCCGGGAACGATGGAGGAAGCGGAGCCACCGGACGAATTGATGGACATTCTGGATGAGGGTGAGGACGAGGACGAGATTGATGAATATGTTTCGGGTTCCTTCATCCCTGGTGACGGAAGAAGGTCCAGGGCTCCCAGCCCTCCATCTCTTCCTCCATCACACTCCGTATCACGATTGACAACTCCCCAGAGTGATGAGGAGACAGACAGCGCTAGATAGTTCGTATGGATGTCACCAAAAGAAGCGGTTCCATACAGCCTTGAGCGTCACGAACGTATCCAACCAAGCCTAGAGGTCTCGTATTTTTATCGTTCATCTCGACAGCCGTCCAGAGGAAGATGCGTACGACCAAGAGATCATTCCACACCTCAATTACGGTAATGAACCGCAAAGTGGGCCTGCTCGCCCTCCTGGCTTCTTATGTCTGCCTTCTTGTTAGTCCAGTGTCGGTAACGCGTCCACAGACTTTGATATCGACCATGGTCAGCCGGGCGTCTGCTCCCTGCTAGATAATGCCCATGCAACGCTATCCGCAATTTATCCGAGTCTTCCGAAGTGTATATCAGCAACTCGACACTGTCCTCCGATGCAATGGCGAGTTGAACGACTGCCGGGCGTATGTACAACAACATCGGCGATAGCCCTTCATCACATTCGACACGTTTGTCTCTACTTCCCGCTGTCGCGACTGCACCACCAAGTCCTTCCTCGACTTTCCGCCAGCAGTTCTTGTCCTCCACCTGCTCTGTACTTGTACTTGTATCTGTATTTGTATCTCTTGTTTCCTCTTTATTTTCTCTGTTTCGCACTTCCTGTACGGCCAATGGCTTCCTTCTCCCTGTAATAATATAAAAACGATGCCCGATTCGGCATCGGCTTTTGGCTTGCCGATCTTTATCACTCAAGTCTCCTCATAATCTGGTTGGTCGAAGTGCCCTTCAGAAACGAAGATCAAGAAGATTATGCGCGAGACAACAGTAAAGAGTCTCAGCCGTCGCAGAAATTCCCCAATTGAGAAGATCCGTACACTTCCGCGGAAGGTGAGAAGATTGGT